TTTCCCCCCCTTCTTCCTTCTCTGAGACCAAATGCACTTTGCTTTAATATTGTTGTTTGCAAGTTCCACCCAGTGCCAAATCCAAGTCAGTTCAGTCGTTGCCAATAACTACTGTTCTATTTGCAAAGACCTCTGGATAATCATTATTATCCCTCTCATTACTGCGCAGAGATTCAAAACAACCTCCTCCCTTTTCCCCTGGAGGGGAGTGGGATGGGCAGGGACTGGCAGCACATGGGGCAGGCAGCTGGCAGCCACAGGAGGGACCTGCCCCAGCCCCATGCCAGCCCCACAGGGCACCCCAGGCAGGGTCTGGGGGTTGCATGGGCAGCTGAGGGCTCCTACCCCCAGATACAATCGAGAGGAGCCTGCAGCGCTGCAGAGATGAGTTCCAGCACCTGTATGTGACACCTGCAAGAAAAAGGTGTCCGTGCCCCTCACCAGCCACCCCTGCCTGCCCATGCAGCTCAGGTTCCTCTGACAAGTGGTCAGGGGTGATGTGTGGGACCCATCCCCTGACCCTGTGCTCCCTCGGGGGGCACAGTGATGCCTGGGGATTCTGACTCTGCCACCACCCGTTCCATCCCTGCAGTCGTGAGCTGCTGGTGCAAGGGGAAGACCCCAGGGGACTACAGCTCCAGGTGAACAGCTCCACACACAGCCCCAGCCAGGAATTCAGCACCAGAATCCTCTACCAGCTTTGTGCCTGGGCACCCTGTGGGTGTCCATCCCTGTGCCCAGGAGCAGGGCGGGGGCCAGGTGTGAGAGACTGGAATGTTAAAGGTTATTGACTCAAAATGGGCCTTTCAAAACGGGCAGGTGCTTTGCTGAGGCCCAGCTTGCATCCTCCAGCCAAAAAGGGAGGAGGAGAGTTTTTGGATGTATGGTGAGGAAATCTCCGATGTGCATAAGAACATATCCTGGGCAGAGGGGGTGCCCACCCAACATCAGGGCATGACCAGCACAAACCAGCCTTTGTTCAGGTACAGGTTGTTTGTAAGAGAACCATGAGAAGCAGATCCTGAGAGGTAGCTTAAATGTTTTTTTATCGTGGCACTGTCCTCCCTTAAACAAATGGCTCAGGGGTAAAACTCCATGGCCCCTGCTGCCCCCAGGAGGTATCAGGACATTCACCTGTAAGTCATGTCTTAGAAGGTGTTATAAACCATCAAATATCCCCAAAGTGCCCCCAGACTCATTCCCAGCTGAGTGGGGTGGTCAGTGCAAGGGGTGCCAAGTTTTCATCCAAGTAGGATGAAAACAGATATTCAGGAAGTTCCACCTGGACAGGAGGAAGAATTTCTTCCCTCTGGAGTGACCAAGCACTGGAACAGATTGTCCAGAGAATATCCCTCACTGGAGGTATTTCAGAATCGTATGGACTCAATTCTGTGTCCTGTGCTTTGGGATGAGCCTTTTTAAGCAGGGAGCTGGGACCAGCTGACCCAGTGTCAGAGCCTCTCTGGGCTTCTGTGATCACTCTGTGCCCACGGGTTCCCTCACCCACCCTCTACACAACCCTGACCAATACATGCCCCAGGTATCTGCATGGGCCCCTGAGGTACTGGGACACCAGGGACGAGAAGATGTGAGCAGAGAGGTTCCAGGAGCCACTCAAGCCTGGGGGGCTGCAGCTCAGCCCTGCTCTGCCCCATTCCTGCAGGGACTCCAGTGACAGAGGCAGTGGTGACACCAGGACATGGCTCGAGTCCCAGCCACACGACAGAAGCTGGGAGAGGCTGCACGGGGAGGGGCTGTCAAAAAGAACTACCTGGTCCTTGAGGCATCGTGGTCCTGGCACCCTGAGCCCACAGCCCATGGTGGTCCTGACCTTGGAATGCTCCCAGCCCAATGCTGCTTCCAGTTCCACCCTGCCCGTTCCCTCAACCCCTCGTTGTCCCCTTCTCACTCGGTCCCACCATCTCCATGCCCAGGGTGCCCCCAGCCCCTCCACATCCCTGTCCATCCCTGTGGTGCCATCCACCCCTCGATGTCCCTGTTTCCAGGCACGTGCTGCCCCCATCTCCACCCCATAGTGCACTCAAACCTGTTCCTGTCCCCACAGCCCCTCAACGCCCCCACCTCTATTTCTGTCATGCCCCCCACCCCTGGGAGGGAAGTGCCAGGTAGGGCAAGGGCAGCTCCATGTGCGCTGGGAGCAGCAAGTGCTGTGTGACTGAGACCTCGGTGGTGCTGCTGGGGGCAAGACCCCCACCCTCCCCATCTCAAACCCCCACCTCTATCCTCCAGTACAGCGGAGACCCCCACCTTCAGCATCCCCCTGGCAGACACACCCCTCAGACACCGTGCACGAGGGATTTAAACATTTATTAATTACCAAGTACCTTCAGCCCGCGTATCTCTGCTCCTCCTCGTCCTCGCTGCTGTCCTGGACCAGGTCGGGCTCCAAGGGGCTGCAAGCGGGGCAGATCATCCCCATCTCCCTCCAGCACCGCTCGCAGTACAAGGCAACGCAGTCGGGATTGGGGCAGTGCTCGTGCTGGGGAGTCTCGGGTGTCCTACACAAGGTGCATCTCTGGGGCAAGCAGCGCCGCAGCCAGGGCCAGCGCTGGCGACAGCGCTGCAGCAGCATTGTCCCCTGCGGAGAGGAGAGGACCTTGTGGGCTCGGCCACAGCGGCTGCAGGGTCAAGAGACTGTGGCCACCCCACCCAGCACCCCGTGTCCCTGTCCCCACTCACCAGCCCGGGTGGCTGCCGTGCTTGCCGGGCCACGCGCCCGCGCTGCAGGTACAATAAAGTCTTCCGCTGCAGCAGCAATCTATTGTACAGGAACAGCACTCGAGTCTTCTCCCTCTGTGCCAGCAAAGACCATCAGAGGTGGGTGGCTGGGGAGCCAGCCTACCCAAAACCGACCCTAGAACCCAGCCCCAGGCTGTGCCGAGCCCTCGGACTGCTCACCTTGGGGAAGTAGAAGGAGGCGATGGCGCGGCGCAGGCGGAACGGGTAGACCTGGACCAGGCAGAGCAGGACCAGCGCGCCCAGGGGCAGGAAGGTGTTCAGGTACTGCTGCCTCGTCAACCCCGTGGGCTGTGGCAGGCAGACTGGGGACATGGCACCGCTGTGAGCCCCCTGAGGCAGACCCTGGCCAGGCGTGGGGCTGGGGGGTTCCCGTCCCTGGCAGGAGCTTACTGAGGTTCGAGGTCTCCAGTTCGGTGTCCAAGGAGGTGTTGAGGGCCCCGATGGTGGAGCGCAGCAGATCTGCCATCAGGGATGCGCCCATCACGTTCACGGACAAGTGGTGGCTGGCTGTGGGGTGGGAGGATAGGGAGGCTGAGGAGGGGGTGGGAGGCCTGAGGGGGTCCCTGCATTGCTGAGGGGCATGGTAGGACCACGGGACCCCTCCAGGGGCGTGAGCTTACTTTGGTAGGAATACTCGATAAAGGAATGATGCTGGATGATGCTGAGAATGCTGAAGATGAAGTGGTCCAGGCCACAGACGAAAAGGAGGAAGAGCAGGAGTGGGATGCACCTGAGCACCTCCATCACCTGCAGGGAGCAGAGGAGTTGTCACAGCCTGCTGTCCCAGCTCTGACCCCCCTGATTACCCCCAGCCCCTCACCATATGCTGCAGCTCAAGACGCTGCACAACCGGCTTGCACGGGAAGATGAAAGATGAGGTCTCCTCCGGGAGCAGGGGCAGCAGCGTCTTCTTGTTCTGGGTGAGGGGCAGGGCGTTTGTCAGTGCAGAGTCTGGGACACCCCACTGGGGGTGACAGGGCTGCCCTGCACCCCTTTCCCCCTGCCCAACCTGCTTCCTACGCCGGGCATCAATTTGACGGAAATAGGTGGTGATGTAGCAGTTGTCAAAGACAATGCTGTGACAGTATCGGTAAGTGTACAGGAAAGCCCTGTGAGAGAGGATAGGTCTGGGGTGAAGGAGGCACTGGGTACAGCCTCCCCTGTCTTCATGTTCCCCCCTAGACCTGCTGCCAAAGAAAGCCCCCACCTCTCTGTGCCCCGCAGCTGGCACAGAGGTGTCACCCCCACCCCCTGACCATCCCAAAGCTCACGAGATGAAGACGAAGAGGAAGGTGAAGGACAGCAGCAGGCGGAAGAAGGAGACGGCCAGGCCCAGGCGGGCGCTTTCCAGCTGCAGCTGCGAGGTCACCTCCTCCTGCAGCTGCTGCATTATCTCGGCGCCCACCAGCATCTCATGGTGCTCCACCTATGGCAGAGAGGCCATGGGGCAGGGCAGGACCTGGCCCTCACCCTGGCCATGGGCACAGGGGACAGGCACCCCCAGAATTGCCCAGGCACCCACCTGGTAGTCAATTCTGGCGCTGAATTCCTGGCTGAGGCTGTTAACGGAGCTGTTCACCCGGTCATACATGTAACCAAAGTTCCCATCCACGGGGATCCTCTTCTCACACCAGAGTTTCATGACTGCAGAGATGGAACAGGGATGGTGGCAGCTCTGGCTGCCGTGCCAGGGGCTGCAAGGGCAGGACTGGATCTGCCTCTGCCAGGGAGCACAGGGTCACCTACGTTTGACGGAACGGCACAAGAATCCAAACTGCATGGGCAGGCAGATGATGTGGCTGGCAAGGGGCACGACCACTTGGTTCATGCATCTCCTGTACATTCTCTCGAAATGCCGTGTGCAACGCTGCAGGCCCCTCTCAATCAAAGCTGGGGGGGCAGGAACTCTCAGTTGCCTGTGAAGCTCCAGCCCCACTGGCCAAGTCCCCAACCCTCTGGGGACAGCCCTGGGGCTGGGGCAGCCCCCTCCCCATATCCTGCCAATCCCTGTCTGCCACACTCACTTTGACAACGAAGTTTGGTCTTTGTCTCATAGATCTGCTGGGTGCTGAGGGCCGGCTGGATGCCTGTGTTTAGGTGTTGCCTGAGGTCGTAGCCCTCCTTGCTGGCCACCTGCTCGTTCAGCTGCACGAAGGCACGCGAGACATTCTGCATCTCCATGTTGAGCTTATCCGCGCTCTTCTGCCAGGGCACACGCACAGGCAGAGGTTTGATCCTGCTCCTCCAGCCCCCCAGCACCCACCCCCCAGCCCCAGACTCCTCCTCACCACCAGCTTTTCCATGACTTGGCGCATGTGGCCTGTAGATACCTGCCAGAGATTTTTTGTGTGGTTCACCTGTAGCTCCACCACACAATCCATCGAGCGCTTTGTCTCCATCAGGTTGTACCAGAGGTTGGCCCCGGGCCCTGGTGGCAGCAGGGATGGTTCAGAGCTTGCCAGCTCCCAGGACCCCACTAGGGGACACAGGGATATGGGGACCCTACCATTGTAGATGGCAGCGAAGACAAAGGAGACAACATAGAGCCGACCCTCCTTTCCCAAGAACTTGGGGACCATGAGCAGGTTGGCACAGCGGAAGTGGGGGGACGTGGCCCAGCCCAAGGCAGTCACCCCTGTGCAGAGCAGAGAGCTGACCCCATGGTCCCACACAGAAACCCCTGAGGCTCCTGACGGTCCCCATCACCTCAGTCCCCTCCATGCCCCATCCTCACCTGTCAGCCCCCAGGTAAGCGTCAGCCTCTTTGTCTCTGACACGTCCAGAGGCAAGATGAGGAGATGGCAGAGCCCTGGAACACCCAACAATGCGTCCTGAGCTTCCAGTACCACCATTGCCATGCTGTGCCCGGCACCAGGACACACTCACCGAGGCCAAGGAGCATCCCAAAGCCGGCACCCAGGAAGGCCTTCCTGTAGCGATACTCGTCCGGCCGGCTCCAGAGGAACCGGCTGCACGGGCGAGGCAGCACCGAGGCGACCACTCGCTTCAGGACTGGGTGGAGAAGGAGGTGTCAGCCCTGCCCACTCTCACTGCCCACGGGCAGCCCTGGCTGGGAGAGGAGTGGGAGCAGAGCTCACTTGTGTTGGGGGGTTTCTGAGGACGGTGGGATTCTGCCCCAGAATTGATGCCGGTGGGATGCTCCAAGGAAGAGGGAACATGGCTGGGTGTCTGCGAGACCACCACCTCCTGCAGCTCTCTGTCCCTTGTCTCAGCTTGCTCCTCGTAGTCAACTTCGTGTCTGGCAGTGGGGAGACAAGTGTTGGGGACCAGCACCCCCAGTGCTGGAAGGGAAGGAGGACACTGTCATCCCCACTGCCAGTCCTCACCCGGAGAGCAACCCCTCGCTCTCCTCCTCCAGCTGGTCTTGCAGGCGGGTGGCCCTTCTGAAGGGGAGTCTCCGGTCCTTTATCATGTCCTTGATGCGCTGCAGCAGCCGCCGCCCTCGCTCCTGGCCCCGTCGCTCCTGTACAGCACCCAGCTGCAGCTCCGGTGTCTCCTCGTCACTGGAGTCCCTGCAGGGGCAGAGAAGGCAGGGGTGAGCTGCAGTCCCCACCATCTGCTGCAGCCCCCCCGGCTCGGGTGGGCTCCCAGCACCCCTCTGCTCACATCTCCTCCTCCCCAGCGTCTGGGAAGCTCAGGGGGGCCATGCAGACGGTGCAGATGTTCAGGGTTCTGTAGCACTCACTGCAATACAACCCTGAGGAAAATGGAGCTGTCAGGGAGGACGTGGAATTTTCTGGGGAGGGGGTCCCCAGGCTGGGGTCCCCAGGCTCCTACCTTCGCAGCCAGATGTCATGCAGGCAGTGAAACCCGGCTGCTCTGCCGTCCCACAGATCAGGCAGTGTCTGCGCTGGATACCCAAGCGGCGAGCGAAGCGGGCAAGGCGAGGGAACCTGCGAGCACAGAGCAAACGATCCATGGGGCAGTGCCATCCCAGAGATCCTCGGCACAGACCCCCAGGGGTGATAGTGCCCTTTTCAGTCCTCTGGAAGAGCTTACCTGGACATCAGGATAAGGAAGAACCTGTTTTTCCCGGTATCAGCCAAATTCCGTGTGCCAGATTGGCGCAGGGCAAATATCAGCCATTCCCGCCGTGCCCGGATGATGTTGTGGAGGAAGACCAGGCGTTCCTGGCATGGAAGTGATGGGGTGAGAGCAGCTGGTGGCTGAGGGAGTGTAGAGGGACACACACACACACACGCACACAAGGGGCTTCCCACCTGCTCACGGGATGGGAAGTAGGCAGCACACACTGCCCGGCGCAGCCGTGCCAAGTAGGAACCGAAGACGCAGATGAAGAGCCAGACACCGTACAGGATTCCTGGTGGGAAAAAAATGAGTTATGTAGGGGGGGCACCCCCCTACACCCCCCACCCACCTGGGTCGTTGAGGGTGCAGCACCCCTGGTCTGCACACCTATGGTGATGTAGGTGCTGTGGTCGGGCTCCACAGGCTTGATGAGGCAGGCCTGGGACAGCACCGAGACCTTGCCCTCCTGCAGCGTGTTGAAGGCAGAGACAAGATCCTGGTAGATCTCACTGGTGTAGCCCGTCCCGTTGACATTGATGCTCATTGTTGATGGCCCTGTGGGTGAGCAGCTCAGACCTGGGGCCACCACACAGCCCTGACCCCCAGCCAGCAGAGCACCCAAGGGTGCTGCTCACCCCTGGCAATGATATCCGCGCTCAGCTGGTGCCGGAAGAGGTCAAGTAGCCAGAAAATGCTGTAGTCAACCAGGATGATGCTGAACCCCAGCAGCACATGGCGCAGGAACCCAAACAGCTGCACCCCATACTGGCGTCGCTCCTGCTGTGACAGCCACAGCGCACCTGGATGGCCAGGGGAGCACCATGAGGCTGTGTCAGGGGGCTCAGGTCTGGGCTGGGGGATACCCTCGGGAATGGGGCTGACCTGGGGGGATGTAGCGGCCCCTCTCCAATGACGACAGTGGCAGCACAGTGGGTTTGCCCTGCTCTGCACACTGCATGTCCAGCTCCACGAAGCGCCGCGTGATGTAAATGTTGTCAAAGGTGTCATCCCGCAGGTAGCGGCGCCGGTACTGAATCGCTCTGGGGGCACAGCAGGGCAGCTGAGCCCCTGCACACCAGGTCCTGTCCCCAGGGGTCACCAGAGCACTACTCACTTGTACCACAAGTAGAAGATGGCCAAGAAAGAGATGTAGGAGAATAACTCCAGGGCTCGGTGGTAGGGCTTCATGTGCTGCTTCACAGCCTCCATTATGTCAGCAGACACCTCCCCCAGGCTCTTGCTGGCATTAAGGTTGACACTGAAGTGATGCGCAACCGAGATGTTGAACTCAAATTCGGCGCGGACACGGTTCAGGGCATCCGTGAGGGCTGCAGAGGTGACAAGAGGTGCTGTGCTTTGTGGCCAGAACCAGAAGAGGGGCACAGAGAAGGACCCCTGACCCCCCCATGGCACTGGGATACTCACGGGCTGCGGCATTGATCCGGATGAAGGTCTGGATGTACCCAGGGATGGTGCAGAACACGGCAAGAACTGCAGAGAAGGGGATCTCTGCTATGGCTGGGCCCCCGTGATGGGGACAGATCTGCCCCATCACCCCATTAGCCCCCCCATGACAGAGGGACAGGGACTCACCAGTAGTTTTCAAGTAGCAGAGGGCCTTGAAAGTGTGGACAATATAGCAGAGGTGGTAGAAGATGGAGAGGGAGCGCTCACATCTGTCCTTGGCCTTGTCCATGTAGCGAAAGCAGCTACTATGGGGTGTCCCCAGCTCACGGTTACACACTTTACCAGCCATCGCCAGCCACACCCAAACGTTGCGCAGGGCCCGGGCTGTGGGCAGAGTAGACATTGGAGACGGGGATGGGCTGAAAGGAGAGTGGGGGGTGCTAGGGGTGGGGACACCCCCGGGGACCCTGCTCACCAACGTGTCTGATGGAGTCTATGATGGAGCGGATGGACTTACGGACCCGGTCACCCACCACCTTGGCGTTCTGGCCAATCTCCTTGATTTTCTTCTGCACGTCTGCAGAGAGAGGAGACACCTGAGCATACTCTAAAGAGTGAAGGTAGCCTGAGGCTGTCTGTGGCTCCCCCAGGAAGGGCCCCTCCAGTTCCTCCACCATTCCCCAGCCCCCTGCTCACTCAGCAGTGGCTCTTTGGCTCGTTGCAGCTGCTCGATCGTCTGGTTTTGGGCCAGTTCAGCCCCACATGACAGTGCCTTGGCGACCTGGGAGATGTTGTGCAGGAGATTGACACCAGGGCCTTGCATGGTCAGGCACAGCGCCAGCATCATGATCATCATCTTCCCCTCCTCTGTGAAGACAGGGCAGTCCTGGGGCTCAGCCAGGAGCCAGCACCCCCTGGCACCCCCAGCTCCCAGCCCAGGACCCATGGCTGCTCACTGGTGAAGAAGTGTGGCAGTGCCAGCAGCACAATCATCCTTGTCTTCATGGAGAAGGCCATGCCCAGGCCCAGCCCCGCGCCCAGGAGGATGGTAATGCTCAGGCAGTACCAGACATTGTGGCCCTGCACCAGCAGCACCAGAGCCCCATAAATGCAGGCCAGAACCAGGCCCAGGGTGAGGCCGCCGAGGCTGCGAGCAAACTGCTGGGCCTTGTTCTGACCCTCTGGCCAGCGCTTGGCCCCAGGCCGCTGCTGGGCCTGGTTCTTTTGCTGGCCCCTCCGGGCCCTCAGAGCATTGCCCAACTCTGAGACCAGCCTCATGCTGAGGCTCCTGCTGCTCCCTCCAGCTTCCTCTTGCTGGGATAACAGCAGACAGAGTGAGCAGTTTCCAACGTGCTGCTTGCAGGGGTCTCGCCGTTGGCAGTTCCTGCGTGACAGTTTCCGTTGTCTTCAGAACGCTTCGGCGGTTTCAGTTGAACTCTGTCGCAGTGGGTGTTGCTCACCCTGACGTTCGTCTTCCAAACAGAGAAATTCAGTGTAATTAGGTGTCAGTAATTGCAGCTTTGATAAGCCTCAGCAGCTGGAGAGAGAAGAAACTTGAGCCAATACATCAGTGGGGACCAGAGCCCACGGAACACTGAACACGCAGACCAGGGACACACAACCAGGAGATGGAGAGGAACAAACAAGGCCAAAAGGGCAAAGTGGGAAGCTCACGACCACCGAGTCAAGAAACCCACTGACCCAAAAGGAGAAAACTGAGCATGCAGCCTAATTAGCGTGAGAAGTGAGAGAATCGTTTAAAATAGAAAATACTAATTAATACTAATTAATGAGAAACTGTGTAACTCGCAGACCATGAATGTTTAATACTTGTTTGCTAAAGTGTAGAAATAATGAACAGTTTGCTTATTGGGGGTTGCACTGGGGATTGACCCCTGGCACAGAACTGAAAATAAATCAAATCCCTCAGCTCTGGATGGGATTGGCCTCTTGCACACCAGGAGATGGAACCCATTTCAGGACATTTTGGTGACCCAGATGGGATGGCCATAAAGCCTTGCTTGGATCATCTTCCTGCACCCAGTAATGGAGAATGGGATCGAGCAGGACTCCTGCAGTGTCTTGGGCTGCGAGTGGTGCTGGAGGGAGGTGGGAACTTGTGTCTTGCTGGTTGTCCCACAGATCTCAGCCTTCTCCAGGACAGCAGCAAGGAGGGGGCCCCAGAAATGACAACTGCAACCCCCATGCATGGCATGAATTGGGGTCTGTGGGGTGCATCTGCCAGGGGGCTGGAAGGGGGTGTTGGAGTGTGTAAAACAGAATGCAGAAATAGAATTAAAACCTTTACATAAATTAAAGTATATTAAGCCACTCATACATGAAATAGAGGTGTAAGCTTAAGTTTTAAGTAAGTTTAAGTAAGAATATATTTTAAAGTGCCTTAAAGAGCAAAAGCCTTGGAATTTAGTGTGAAAAACAACCTTCAAAAACAAGCTTCAGTGAGAGCTCAAAAACATAGTTCTAGACATAATAAAAATATAGTAATAATATTGCTTACATTCTTCAGATAGAACAGAGAGGTTATGTGAGCAAGTTATGTGTAAACTTGCATATTATAAAACTAGAATTCTAATAGGTTTAGAAGAAATGCTTCAGATTCGTGTTTTTAAGTCATTGGATAATTTGTAAATAAAAATCCGTGTATTGGAGTGAGAGCTCTCTCGCTTTCTCTTTCTCCACCATCATCATCACTACCACCACATGAAAGAAGAAGAGGAAGAACAAGAAGAAAAGAACAGAAGAAGAAAAGACCAGGGAGCATCTGCCTCTGCTCAAGACTGTACCAGGCTAGGCTGCAACTTCCACCTCTGCTCAGGGCTCTGTGCTGGAGCTGCTGCTCCTGCCTCTGCCCAGGACTTTATACCAGGGAGCTGCTTCTATTCGGAACTGTATTCCAGAAAGTTTTTAGCACGGACTTTAACTCTTTGGACTCTTTGTCTTTTGAAATTGATGTACCTTTACAATAATCAACTTTACAGCAACCACCAAATGCTCTGCTCTTTTGAAGACCTAAACCCATGACAATCTCGACAAGGGGGTGTAGGGGGGATGGAAGTGGGGGGTCTTCTGTGTGTGGCTAGGTGAAGGTGGGGCTGTGTGGTGTCTGGGTAATGAGGGTAGGGGTCTCTGCTGTCTGGGATGATGAAGATGAGGGTCTCTGCTGCACGAGGAGAGAAAGGCAGGGGTGTCTGGAGTACGGGCTGGTGACAGTGGGGTGTCTCTGCTGTGATGTGGGGGTCTCTGCTGCCCTGGGGGATGGGGCTCTGCCATCCGGGGTGGTGAAGGTGAGGGCCTTCAGTGTACAGGATGATGAAGGAGAGGTCTCCAGAGCATGAGTTTGTGAAGGTGGGTGCCTCTGCTCTCCTGGGAGGTGAAGGTGGGGGTCTCCACTCTACGGGATGATGAGGGCAGGGGTCTCGGGATGGGCAGCAGCACCACTGCTCTCTCAGCCGCGGTACCCCCGGCCAACACCAACCCCTCTCGGCACACAAGGAGCCGCCCCCGCCCCGCCCAGGGTTGGGCGGTGCCGGAGGAGCGGAACGGGGCCACGGGGCGGCAGGGAAGTTCCGCCCCCGGGCCGGGCCGGGCGAGGTCGGTGCCGGTGCCGGTGCCGGTGCCGGGCCATGCACAACGAGAGTCGGCGGGGCAGCGCGGCCCGGCGGAGCCATGGGGACGATGGGGCCGCGGCTGCTGCTCGCCACGGGGCTGCTGCTCGCCGCTAGCACCGGGAGCGCTGCAGGTGAGCGGGGAACTGGGGTCCCGAGTGGGGGGTCGGGGGTCGGTGGGGACCGCGGCTCGCCCCGGCTCGGGGCATCGCGGGGATACCCACGGGGAGTGGCCTGGGAGGACCGGGATGGGATCGGGAGTGGTAGCCCCTCTGGAAGCTCGTTGCCCCCTCCCCAGGATGTCCGGTGTGTCCTCCCGGTACGCGCGGTGACCCCTCCCCGGTACGCTCGGCGCGCCTCCCCGATGCTCGATGACCCCTCCCGGGATGCTCGGGGATCTCTCCCCGGGACGCTCGGTGCTCCCCCGGCACCGCGGTTCTGTCCAGCCGCCGGGACTCGGCGCTCCCCGGGCTGGTGGGGCCGTGGGGAGCGGGGTTTGCGTACCCCCTCCGGCATCTCCCGGGCCCTGGGCGGGCAGGGATTCCCCAAAAGCTGAGCCAGCCGAGCCGCGCTCCCAGCCCTGCCCAGTCTCTGTGCTGGTTGTACTGGGCAGCCGGCCGAGGTGATGCAAGGCTTGGCCGAGGAGCCCATCCCGTCCTCCTGCACCCCCCAAACAGGGAGGCACCCCGCAGGCTCTGCTGGGAGCCGTGCCCTTGGCTGCCGTGAGGTGAATGTGGGGGTCCCTGTTACTGCTTCCCACCTGCCCTGGTGGGCTGCAGTGGGTGACGGCAGGGGGCAATGGGTGACCGGGAGGGTCCGGAGTGCAGGCTGGAGGGTCTGGGATGTGGTGGGTGACCGTGGGGGTCTGGGATGCGGTGGCTGACTGCGGGGATCTGGGATGTGATGAGTAACGCAGTGGTGACACGGTGGCCCCGGGCCCTGTGCAGGTGACAGCTCACAGCAGCACAGTGAAGAATTAGGACACTCCTGGTCAGTGACCCCGTGGGTCCTGAGGGATAACCGGACACTCAGCTTGGCAGAAGCGACCCAGGTGAGCCCCCGCCCACATCCCTGGGGTCCCTCACACTTGTGACAGTGTCGTGGGGGCTGCCTGCATGTTACCTCCCCCTGCCCTCTTTTCAGTGCAGGACATGCTGTGTCTTGGCACCGCATCCCCAGGAGTCCCAGCACCCAGAACCCCTGGCGTGCCAAAAGCAGTGGGGAGGGGGGTCCTCAGTAAATCCTCCTTCCTCTCCTGGTGCTGGGAGGGACCTTTCTGGGTCGGGGCTGGGGCGGAAGGGCCCAGCCCACCCCAAGGCTGTTGGGAGTCTCTCCAATGTTTCCGCCGCGCTACACCGGGCAGGAAGAGCGGGGGGAACGGGGTGGGGGCCCCGCTCGGTCCAACCCCTCTTTCCCCGACACAATGAGCCCGAGAGGGAGGGACGCTTCCTGCGGGGTGGGCAAGGCATCCCTTCCGACCTCTCCCTCCGGGCACGTGCCAGGGCCAGGCGGGTCCCGGTGCTTCTGAGGGTGCGTGGGGACGGGGCAGCTTGGGTCAGGGGGTACCCCCTTAACCGTGGCCTGTGGCAGGGGGGGTTCCCCGCCCGTCTGGCAGTCCTGCTGGAGCTGGAGGGGATGAGGCTGCTGCTGGAGCTGGAGCAAAACTGGTGAGTCTGTGATTCTGGGCGCAATAGCAGGGAGTGGGATGGAGCTCCTGGACTCAAGCAGTGTTGGGGTCCTCCTAAGACCCTGGGGCTTTGTCTCTATCCATGGTGCACTCAGAGTGGGGATCCCTTATTCTCTGTCTCCATCCATGGCACAGGTGGGGTGGGGTCCCGGGTTGCACCCATAGCAGGGTGGGAGGTGGTGGGTCCTCCCTTCCTGCCCAAGTGTGCTCAGGGCAGGGTGAGCTGGGCGTCCCTGCTGTGGGGTGACACAAGTCTCTGGCAGGGAGCTGGTGCAGGGCACCGGGGTGCTGCTCTATTACCTGCCTGATGGCACACGGGTGATCCAGGAGCCCAGCAAGCAGGTATGGCTTCAGGCATAGCTGTCACCTGTGGTGTCCCCAGTCTATCCCTGTTCCCCAGGGGGACCCCAGCCTGGGGCTGGATCCTGAGACCTCTTGTCTGCTGCAGGAGCACTGCTGCTACCAGGGGACAGTTCAGGGTTTCCCCGGCTCCTGGGCCAACCTCTGTGCCTGCACTGGACTCAGGTGAGCCCCCAAGGCCAGTGATCTGTGAGCCCACTCCCGCTGGGCTGATGATGGGACAGGCTCCATATTCCAGCTCCTCTGTCCTTCTTCAGTGGCTGCCTCCGGCTGTCAGACACCAGGAGCTACACACTGGAGCCAGACACCAGCAGCCCCCCAGGGCCACACGTGGCATCCCACCTTCGGGTCCAGCTGGAGCCACAGAGCTGCAGGCAGGGCCCCCGCCCTGGGCCAGAGGCAACAGAGCCCCTCTGGCCACAGAGGGTAGGTCACCCAGGGGTTTTACCCCACAGAGTGTCTCTCTATCAGCACTCTGACCTCTCTCTGTCCCCAGGGCAAGCGGGCAGCGGCAGAGCAGCGCTTTGTGGAACTGGTGATGGTGGTGGACCACGCTGCGGTGAGTACTGGGCAGTGTCCCCAGAAGAGGGGCTGCCCTTCCCACGGCCACCCCTCTGAGCCCTCTCCCTGTTTCCCCAGTTCCAGAATTACCCCAGCCTACAGCGTGTTCACACTCGGACCCTGGAAATAGCCAGCCAGGTGGATGTGGTGAGTCACCGTGGGGTCTGTCCCTCCCAGCCCAGTGCCTGCCTGTGCCCTTGGTGCTGCAGTGCTGGGGGAGCTCTGACCCCTCTGTGCCCCCCCAGTTCTTGCGCCCACTGGGAGTGCGGGTGGCCCTGCTGGCAGTGGAGATCTGGAGCGAGGGCAACAAGATCACGGTGGGCAGCAGTGCCCGGGCTGTGCTGGAGCGGTTCCTGCGCTGGCGCCGGGAGGAGCTGCTGCCCCAGCTGCCCCACGACAATGCCCAGCTCCTGACGTGAGTGGGGGACAGGGTGGGGACAGACGGACGAGGCCGCAGCAGCCCCCCAACCCCCTGTGCTCTCTCCCCAGGGGTGCCCACTTTGATGATGTCTCAGTGGGGATATCGACTCAAGCCTCCATGTGTTCCCCCACACGCTCCGGGGGGGTCAGCATGGTCTGTATCTCTGTCCCCACACCCTGTCCTCCCACCACCTGCCCACCTTGACCCTACTGTCCCACAGGACCACTCCATCAGTGTCCTTGTCATCGCCTCCACCGTGGCCCATCAGCTGGGGCACAACCTGGGCATGCGCCACGACAGCACCGGGCGTTTCTGCGACTGCGGCGACCTCCGGCACGACCGCAGCTGCATCATGGCACCGCCTACGGGGTGAGGGCAGCGGGAAAGCCTTCGGTGGGGCTGGGGCCAAGCCCCCTCTCTACCTCACGGGCCCCTTCCTGGCTGCTCTGCAGGTTGACACCTGGCTTGAGCTTCAGCAACTGCAGCCAGCAGGACCTGGAGCACAGCCTGCAGCAGGGCCAGGGCTGGTGCCTCTCCAACGTCCCCGAGCCCCAGCTCCTGACTGGGAGCCCCACCTGCGGGAACCACTTTGTAGAGCTGGGCGAGGAATGTGACTGCGGCCTCAGCGTGGTACGGGGGGCTCTTGGCAGGCCTAAAGCCCTGAAGGCACCCCCTTTCTCCATGGCTCTGCCCAGGCGTGTCTGGAGCTGACAGGGTGGTTTCCAGCACCCAGCTGGTGCTGGTGGCACCCTCTGACTGCAACCCCTCTACCACAGGAGTGCACCGATCCTTGCTGCAACAGCAGCTCCTGCCAGCTGATGCCAGGGGCCATGTGTGCCACCGAGGACACCTGCTGCCAGGACTGCCAGGTGTGTGGGAATGGGCACCCATGGCATGGGCACACCAGCCGCTCCCTATGGTGGGCGAGTCCCCCACTCACCCCGTTTATCTGACCATGTTCCCCCACAGCTGCGCCATGCTGGACACATGTGTCGGGAGCTGCTGGGCGAGTGTGACTTGCCCGAGTTCTGTGATGGGGTCTCACGGCACTGCCCCCCTGACACCTTCCTCCAAGATGGGCAGCCCTGTGCCAGCGGGCGGGCACGCTGCTACAGTGGGGCCTGTGCCACCTATGAGGAGCAGTGTCAGCAGCTGCTGGGGCCAGGTAGAGCAGGGCCGGGATGGGGTGCTGTGGGCTAGGTAGGGGTGCTGAGGGTCTCTGCCCCCACTGCAGGTGCCAGTCCTGTCTCCAGCTCCTGCATGGCTGCCCTGAACACAAGAGGGGATGAACGTGGGCACTGCGGGCAGTTCCCCAACGGCTCCTATGCCACCTGCACACAGCAGTGAGTGAGCTCCCCATCCTTCTCCATGGCCCCCTTGCCATGCCCCCTGCCCTGACCCCTCTGTCCCTGCAGGGACATCAGCTGTGGGATGCTGCAGTGCCAGCGCAGCAGCTCCCGTGGGGACAGCCCAGAAGGGTCATGCCAGGGGACGCCCCTGCCTGGGGACAAGGATGTGACCGATGTGGCCATGGTGCTGCCTGGCACCACCTGTGGCCCCGGGAAGGTGAGCAGTGAGGCAACAGGGAAGGGACCGGGAGGGGTCTCCCAGTGCTGACACCCCATCCTCCACAGATGTGCCTCCAGCACCGGTGCCAGGACATCTCCATGCTGGGTGACCAGCAGTGCCAGAGCAAATGCCATGGGCATGGGGTGAGTGCAGGGCTGGGGAGTGGGTGCTGGCAGTGGGGATCTGCCCCTCAGGGGCTGAGCTCAGCCGGTGTCACCCACTCAGGTGTGCAACAACCACGGGCACTGCCATTGTGAGCGGGGCTGGGCCCCCCCAACCTGTGACAGCCCCGGCGTGGGCGGCAGCCAGGACAGCGGCCCTGCCGGCCTTGAGCGAGGTGAGGGACAAGGCAAGCGCAGAGAATGGGGCTTTGTGCGGGTGTCGGGGGGGTGATGGGCACGGAGGAGGCTGACGTGCTGCTCTCTCGCAGGAGGAAGCGCCCTGCCCACGGCCCTGCTGCTGAGCGCACTGCTGGGGCTGGCACTGGCACTGGGGCTGTGCCGTGCCCGCCGTGCTGGCCTGCACAAACGCCTCTGCCAGCTTGGCAAGGGCACCTCCTGCCAGTACAGGTACTGGGGATGGGGGGCATGTGGGGGGCACATCGGGGATGTGTGGGGGGCACGCGGGTGTTGGCACGCTCGCCTCTGCATGCGTGTGCCGAGGCACACAGATGGCACACAGGTGCCACACTCAACTCTGCATGCATGTGCCGTGGCACACAGGTGACACATTCACCTTTACATGCGTGTTGTGATACGCAGGTGGCACATACACCTCTGCATGTGTGTTGTGACACACAGGTGGCACACACACCTCTGCATGTGTGTGCCGTGGCACATCATTGGCCGGCACAACTCTGCTCATGTGTACTATGACACACAGGTGGCACACTCAGTTCTGCATGCATGTGCCACCACGGCAGGCACCAGAGCCGCCTGCATGTGAGCTCGCATGTGTGTAGCAGTGCGGTGCATGCCTGTGCACACACACACGCACACGTGTGTTCCCCATGGAGCGCTGTGTCCCTGCAGAGTGACCGTCCGTGTGTGTGTGTGTGTGTGTGTGCATCCGCAGCGCAGGTCACAGCCCCATCGTGCACCTTGGCCCCACATCCCCGCGGCTCCTCTCACCACTGCCCCCCAGCCCCAGGCTGAGCCCCCCACTCTTCTCCCCACAGTGCTGAGACCCGGGAGCAGTTCCTGGGTCCCGGAGCCGCAGACGGCTGGAGCGGGTAACGTCACCGCCGGCGCCTGGGCGTGGGGCTGTCCCCGAGCCATCCTGCTTCGCAAGGCCTCCGGTGCTGCGCTCTTCCCCTGGCAGTGCCCGTGGGGTGTGGGGCAGCCCCGGGGTGCGGGGTGTCGCATCTTCCAGCGCCGAGGGGTTCGTTTCTCTTGGGCTTCTGCTGGTGTTGGTGTCGCACGGTCGCCATGCGGGGTCCCCCAAGTGCCCAGAGTGAGCAGGGTCTCATCCTGCATCTTCCCTGCAGGATCTCGCAGCCAGAGCCCCGGTCGGGCAGCAGCCAAGGTCCCCCTGCACGTCCCCGACCCCCACAGTGGCGTCAGGCCACGGAGCTGCAGGTCATGCATGGCAGCAAGGTGAGGATGGTGGTGATGGAGGCAGTGGGTGATGAGTTCACTCTGGTCCTGGGGTGCCAGCTCAGAGCATCTCATGTGTGGGATCCCACTCCTTGGCACCCGGAGCAGCCTGGCACGGCCACTTGGCATGACCGCTGTTCACTGGGATTGGTGCCTGTCCCAGCCAGGGCTGGGCCCCAGAACTGTGCATTGAGGGGGGGTCTCTGTCTCTGCCTGGCGGGAGGGGGGTCTCCGCATGCTGCATGGCTTGTCCCCCCTCTCCCTCTCTCCGCAGCCGGCTGCCCTCGGCTCAGCCCGGCCTGATCCGCCCTCCCGGCCTCTCCCGCCGGACCCTGTGCCCAAGGTAACGCCCAGGAGGGGGTGGGGGTCTCTCAGCCCACCCAGGACCCACTGCATGTCTGGCTGCGCTCCAGCTCTCGGGGACTTCTGTGACACGGCTGTCCCCAGAACCCCTCCTGCCCAGCGGGAGGCTGGTTCCCGTGCTCGCCCACTTGTCCCCCTTCTGTCTCACTGTCCCTCTCTCCCTGGCCAGGCCCCCCCCTCGGACAGGCCGCCCCCCCCCACACGCCCGCTGCCTGCGGACCCTGTGCTGCTGAGCCCTCAGGTAACGGCAGCAGCACCTGCGTGTGGGGCAGGAGGCCAATTCCGACCCCCTGAGCCCACCGGGGGGTCAGCCCATGACCGAGCCCTGACACCCCCATGCCCTTGCAGCCCCCAGGTCCAGCCAAGCCCCCCCCACCACAGCGGCCGCTGCCCTCAGACCCCCTGGGCCCTTCAGTGCCCCGCAGCGAGAGTCCCTCTGGGCACCCCTATGTCACCGTGGTGCCTGCCAGGTGAGCACGGGGGGACAGGATGGGGTGGGAGGTCTAAGGGGGGTTTGTAGGGGCTGTGGGGTGCCAGGATGTGGGCCTGCAGAGGCCAGAGGGGAGTGTGGGTGGGGGAGAGAGACAAATCAGGGGGCAGGGTCGGGAAGGAGAGGAGAAAGGTGGGGTCAGGGTGGGGATCCAGAGGAGAGGACGTGGGGAGCTGCAGGGGGAAGTTATGCGGACCCCACCCTCACCCCATCGCCCTCCCTTGTCCTCCCAGGCCCGCCCCGGCCCCGCCAGAGGCCTGAGCCGCAGGCAGAGAATGCGCAGCGCTGGATCCGCGGGGAAGGCCGGGCCTCGCCGCCTGCTTTTTCTCCCGCCACGTCAATAAAAGGGCTGTGAGCCGCCTCTGTGCTGCCTCCGCCGCACCGGGACCGGGGCATCGAGAGCGGCAGCGGGGGGAGCGGGACGGAACTACAACTCCCGGCAGGCCCTGCGCCGGAAGGGGCTCCCGAGAGCCACCGCCCCCTAGCGGGGACAGCGCGCAGCTGCAGCGGGGGCGGTGTCCCTGGGGGCCACGTGGGCACGGGGCGGGGTGAGGGGACACGGGGCGACACGAGCGTGGGCACGTGTGTGTGTGCAAGAGCCCGTGTGTGGGCACGTGTGTGTGTGCAAGAACCCGTGTGTGGGCACGTGTGTGTGTGCAAGAGCCCGTGTGTGGGCACGCAGGTGTGCGAGAGCTGCTCTGCGGGCACACACGTGTGCGAGAGCTGCCCTGTGGGTTTGTGCACACACGTGTGCGAGAGCTGCCCTATGTGCACACACAAGATGCCCTAGGGGTTTGTGCACACGCGTGTGTGAGAGCTGCCTGGTGGGCAGTGACACGCGTGGGCAGGAGCTGCCCCACGTAGGAACACGCGCATGTTCAAGTGCTGTTCGTGGGCAGTAACGTGTGCAGGGGCTCTTCTATGTTCACAGACACACATGAGGATAAGTGATTCCACAAACATGTGCACAAACATGTGCAAGGGCTGCTCAGCCTGTGTGGGCACGTCTGTCTGTGTGTGTAAGAGCTGCCTGGTGAACAGAACTGTGTAAGTGTGCAAAAGCTGCCCTGCGTGCGTGGACACGCGAGTGAAGAGGGGCTGACACTAACAGACACATGTGCAGGAGCTACCCTGAGGGCTCGGGCACACTCGTGGGAAGAAGCTGTCACAAACATGGACGTACACGTGTGCAGGAGCTGCCTTCTGGGCAGGAAGACACATTGGCAGGAGCTGCCACACACATGGGCATGTGTGTGTGTAAGAGCTGCCCTGTGGGTTTGGATACACACGTGCAGGAGCTGTCCTGTGTGCATGGGCAGGAGCTGCCACACGTGTTTGAGCAGGAGTTGTTTTCTGGGCAGGAACATGTGTGTAAGCTGCCTGCTAGACCACAGGGATATGTGTGTGTGCTGTGTGCTCATCACATGCGTGTGCAGGAGCTGTTCTTGAGGGCAGGGACCCACACCTGAACAGGAGCAGCCTCACACATGGGCACAGGTTTGCAAGAGCTGCTCTGTGTGGGGACAGATGTGGGCATGAACACGTGTGGGCATCACACACTAGGGTACACAAGTGTGCAAGAGCTGCGTGGTGGGCAGGGATGTGAATGTGTGCAGAGGCTGCTCTGAACGCAGGAACACGTGTGTGTGCAGGGGCTGCTCTGTGGGCACGTGTGAAAAGGGGCTGCCATGCACATGGGCACATGCGTGGGCAGGTGCTGCTACACACGTGTGTGCAAGAGCTGCCCTATAGGCTTGGACACGGGTGTCACACATGAGCAGGAGCTGTCACACGTGAACACACGTGTCTACAGTAGCTGTTCTGAGGACACAGACACACACACACGTGTGCGAGAGCTGCCTGGTGGGTAGGGGACACGTATGGCAGCAACTGCCACCAACATGGGCACATGTGTGTGCAAGAACCGTCCTGTGTGCATGGGTACACATGTGCAAGAGCTGCTCATGGGCACAGACACACATGGGCAGCAGCTGCCTGGTGGGCCCAGGCACACGCGTGTGTGAGTTGCTGATCTCATGGACCGGTCTCCCCATCCCCGGGCCCCACAGGGTGCCGGTACCGGTGGTTGCGGATGCCGATGATGAGGTGGGTGCAGGGGGCAACCAGTGCTGCTGGTGCCAGTACTGGGGCGGTGCCAGGTTGGGGTGGGGATTAGCAGGGAGCCGGATTGGGCCGGAGCTGCCGGTCCCAGGGGCGGTGCCGATGGATGCCAGAGGTGTTGGTCGGTGCTGGTGCCGGGGATGCTGTTGCCGGGGAAGCTGATCCCAGATGCCCGGGCAGTGTTAGTCCCGGTGCCGGTAGATATTCACGGTACCGGCTCGGTATCGGACTGGGAGAGGTACCGGGGAGTTGCCAGGGATATCGGTCCCGGTGGTGGATGTTGGCGGTACCAGGGGGTGCCGGACTGGGGCGTGGCTGCTGGTTCCGGTCCTGGTGCCGCTGGATGCCGACGGTACCGGCCGGTGGGAAGTTACCGGTCTCGGTCCCGGTGCCGGTCTCGATGCCGGTGCCGGTGGGTACCGGTGCCGCCCGCCAAGGGTTAATGGCAGTCGGTGAAGTTGCCGGGCGGCGGCGCGGCGGGATTGGCCCGAAGTTGTCGGGGCGGGCCGGGCCGTGCCGAGCCCCGCCGGGCCGCCCCGCCCGCGGCCCCCCGCCGCCCCCCGCCGCCGGCGGAGCCATGCGCCCCGCGCCGCTGCTCGGGCTCCTGCTCTGGGCGCCGCTGCTCTGGGCGCCGCCGGTGCGCGGCTTCCGCCACGGCGTCCACTGGAACGGCAGCAACCCCAGGTACCGCCGCCGCCCCCGCCGGCCCCGCCGCCTTTGTACGCCCGGGGCCGCCGAGCCCGGGGCCCCACCGAGCCCCGGGCCCCACCGAGCCCCGGGCCCGCGCCACCGCGACGGGACGGGATGGGACGGGACGGGATGGGACGGGACGGGAGGGGCGGCGGGCGGTGGGCTCCGGGGGGGGCGGGGCTGTCGGCCACCGGGCGCCCATGGGCGAGACTGAGACGGGGAGCACCTCCCGGTGGGACCGAGCCTCCGGGCATCCCCGACAGCACCGAGCCCCCAGGTAATGCTGAGCAGGCGAACGTCCCCCAGTGTGCCGAGCCCCCGGGCATCCCCACCGGCACCGAGCCCCGGGTGGTACCTCTCGATGGTACCGAGCCCCGGTGGTATCGAGCCACCGGGCAGCCCTGGGCGTTGTCGAGCGGGTGAGAACCCCTGGGGGTGCTGAGCTCTGAGTAGCACCGAGCCACCGGGCACCCTGGTGGTACCGAGCCCCGAGCAGTACAGAGCCGGTGAGTGCCACAGCTGGTACCGAGCCCCAGGTGCCTGCGGGGGACACTGAGCCCCTGAGCACCCCCAAGTGACACCGAGTCACTGGGCATCCCTGGGTGCCACCGGCACAGCGAGCACACCTGGGTGGTGCTCAGCACCAGGCACTGCTGGTGGCACTGAGCCCCGGGTGGCATCCAGCTCATGAGTGTCCCTCAGTGACACCAAGCGCTGGGTGTTCCCACACCAGTGGGCAGCCCTGGTTGTCCTCAAGCCAGTGGGCATTCTTGCTGGCACCAAGCCCCTGGTGGCACCAAGCTGGTGGGCAGTCTCGGTGCTGCCAATTTCCCAGTAGCACCCACCTGTGCTGAGCCTGAATGCCCTTGGTAGCACTGAAGTCGGGGCATCCTCTGGTGGCATCAAGCTGGTGGGTGGCACTCTCAGGGCTGTGGGTTTCCATGGCAGGTGTCCCCTCTGGTGGGGGCCACTCCAGCGCACACCCTGCATTGGTGCTGCCTGTGAGCTTTGCCGTCACCAGCAGGCCAGGGTCTGGCTCCATCCCACGTCCCAACCTCCTCCATTTTAGGTATTTCCCAGCTTGGGGCTTCTCAGGGAGCAGGGCGCAGGGTCAGGATCCTGGGGCCTCCCCCATGGAGGTCCTGTGCTCTGGGCCTGCTGGACTGGGGCAGAGTGGCACATGATGGGCAGGGCTGGGGGTACAGATGCTGCCTTGCTACCATCCTTTGGATGGGAGAGGTGGGACCCCACCACCCACGGATGCCCCAGGAAGAGGGACGCTGTGTGCCCCTCTGCTGGGTCAGGCAGAGCCTCGTCCCCCCAGCCCTTGGTCCTGCCCAGGCCCGTCCAAGCCGGCGTCGCCCGTGGGATGCTCTGAGTCAGCAGGAGTCTGTGCTCCATCCTGCCCTCGGGGAGCCCCCAGCCTGAGTGGGGTGTCAGGGGTTCAAACCCCCTCCTTGAGTGCTGCCGTCCCAGTGATGAATGTTCTGGTCTCTGCTGAGACTCTGCACCGTCTGTGAACACCGGCTGTACCAGGGCCAGCGTGGGGGGCTGAGATCTGCCTGCCAGCCCCTCTTTTCCATCGCCCGTCCCAGACGCTCAGGACCAAGCGTGTGCACACGCATGTGCATGTTCATGTGTGTGCACACGTGTGTGCACGTGTGTGTGCTTGCACAGCTGCTCCACCCTGGCCTGGCCGCACTTGCTGTCGACACAACCGTGAGCTCACGGCATCCCCAACGCTGCGCCAGTTCCTGGGCTGGGCCCCATCCCCTGCCCGCTCCGCCACCGGCGCTCGCCCCGTGCCCCCTGCCCCGGCTGCCACCCCCTGCCAGCACCGTGCCGTGGCGGGAGCGTCCCTCCGCACGGCTCTCCCACCGGCGTGTCATGTCCGATCAGCGGCGAGGCGGGTGCCTGGGGCGAGGGGCTTTGTGCCTGGGCAGCGTGGCTGTACAAACCCCCCCGGCCGCGGTGGCCGAGCCCATTCAGCTCCAGCGGCCTGCGGCTAATCTGAGCTGATGCCTGGCTGCGCGGCTCGGGCGGTGTCCGGCCGGTGGTTTTGGGAAAAGCCCAGCTCCTGCTCCGCTGGGGCAGGAGGCAGCAGGGCACCACTCCCACGGACCCCCGGCTTCCCGGCTCGTCCTGCCCGGCAGGTTCCTGCGGGACGACTACTCCATCCAGGTGGCCATCAATGACTACCTGGACATCTACTGCCCGCACTACGAGGGGGCGGTGCCCGCCGGCCGGGCAGAGACCTTCACGCTCTTCATGGTGGACCGGGAGGGTTATCGCGGCTGCTACGAGACCCCCGGCGCCTTCAAGCGCTGGGAGTGCAACCGGCCCCGGGCGCCCTTCGGGCCCGTCCGCTTCTCCGAGAAGATCCAGCGTTTCACCCCCTTCTCACTCGGCTTCGAGTTCCAGCCGGGGGAGACCTACTACTACATCTGTGAGTGCCCTCGGGGTGCCGCGGGGGCTGCACTGGTGTCACGGCACGTTGGGGCACTGGGTGCAGTCCCCTGGGTCAGAACAGATGTCAGGGGTCTTGAGTGCAGCTCCCCAGGGTTGAGTGTCAACAGAGTTTTCATGGAACCGAGTTTAGGGCGTATGGGGGGAGTCAGGGTACATCCAGGATGTCGCTGAGGTTAAGGAGAACACAGGGGTTCTGGATGATGCCAGGGCTGAGGTGCAGGGGGCTCTGGATGTCACAAGGGTGGGCGCACAAGGGGATGGAGATGCAGGTGGTCTCTAGACGCCCTGGGGTGGAGGATTCATGAGGGTGTGGGGTGCAGAGGGGTTCTGGATTCCCCTGGAGGGCGGCACAAGTGAGTCGGGGTTAAAGGGGGTTCTGGATTCCCGTGGAGGAGGGCGCAAGGAGATCAGGGTGCATGGGAGGGGTCTGGATGCCCTGTGATGGGGTACATGGGGTGCAGGGGGGGGTGTCTGGATGCCCCGCGGTGGGGGCACGAGGGGTGGGGATGCGCCCGGTTCGGGGTGCAGGGTGGGCTCTGGGTGCTGCGGGGTGGGGGCTCCATCCCCGCGTTCCGCCGGGAGGGGGCGCCCCCGGCCCGCGCTGAGCCGCCGTCGGGGGGTCCCGGGGGGGCCGCTCCGGACGGTCCCCGCTGACCCCCCCTGCCCAGCCGTGCCCAGCCCCGAGAGCGCCGGGCGATGCCTGAAGCTGCGCGTCACCGTCTGCTGCCGAGGCACCAGTGAGTCCGGCGGGGGGAGGCTGTGCCCCAAAACTCGGGGGCTCCACCGCCCTCGGGGCATACCAGTCCCCACTGGGGGTACCTGGAGCCTCGGGGGCGACTCCACGTAACCCAGGGGAGCCGATCCCTGACAACGGTGGGGTTTTTTTCAGCGCCAGAGCCGGTGACAGAGGTGCCCAATTCGCAGCCCCGAGGGCGCGGGGGCCCCGAGGGTGAGTACGGGGGAAGGGCTGGGAGGCCGGGGACCGGCTCGTCCTGACCACTGCTTCTGCCCTGGCAGATGTGGTGCCTGCCCGGGGCACCGCGGTCCCATCACAGTCCTGCAGCCCATGCCTGGCGCTCGTGCTCCTGGCCCTGCTCTGGATCTGACCCCGGCGCTGCCCGTGGCGGGGGGATGGGCTCCTCTGCCCCGACGCCGCTTCCAGACTCTTCCTCGCAGCCAACCCCCCCAAGCCCGTGGGGCAGCCCCAGGCCATGACCCGCCTGCTGGACCTCCGCAAAGCCGAGCTGGGGCCGGGAGCTCCGGGCTGGAAGGTGAGGGGCAGCGGGGACTCCGAGGCAGTGGGCGAGCACCTGCCTGCTGCCCTGAAGCATCCCTGGACGGGGCTCTCTCTCTCTCTCAGGGCCATCTCTTGCCACCGGCATCAGCGCACATCGGGATCGCCACGAGTCGGCATCGCCGCGCGCTGGGATTGCCACACCCAGGCACTGTCCCACCGGCCACCTGCCCCGGTGCTGGGGTCCCCTCAGCGAACGCCTGCTCTGACCCACGGCTATCACCTCATCTCGTGCCTTTCCCCATGGACCCCGGGCCCTGGGGCCCAGGGACCCCCAACCCCGGAGCGGGGCAGCAGCTCCGATGGCGGCATTGCCGCCGCCGTGTCCTCCTCCAGCGAGGACACACTGATCTGTCTTCTGGGAAGACGCCTTCCTCCGTGCCCTCGGTTTGGTTTTAACCCCTGGTAGTGACTGAGCAATACAGTATTTGCAAGATCGCTGCGCCCCGGGTGTGCGGCCCTCCGCCGTCCCCCTGCCCGTGCCCCCCATCCCTGCACCGGTGCCAGGGCGGCTCCTCCAGGGGGGTCCCTGCCCCTTGCTCCCTGCACTGCCTTTATGGTCAAGGGCTTAATTGCAGCAGTTTGATATTGAGTTGTCAGCTCCTGTCACCAGAGAGCTTTAATTACAGACGAGCTGACAGTAATTAACACCTGGTGGTGGGATGAGCACTGGCACAGGGGGTAAGGGGGCAGTGGACTTGGGGGTCACTCACCCAAGGCCCCCAGCCAGGCACTCTGGTCCTTCTTGCCACCTTTGGGTGTGGTTGAGGTGCCCAGAGAGCTGCCATTCTCTGTCCATCTCTCCATCTGCTATGCACCCCATAATATACACCCCTGAAGTGGGGGCCCGTGGGGGGGCTGCAGGGTTTCCCTCTTCCCGAGTGGGGCACCCAAGCTGCTGTGGAGCCGATCCCATGGCACAAACGGGTCCATGTCAGAGTCATGGCTCTGGCGCAGCCACATGCCCCAGGCTTGCCAACTGGCAGGAGAGCTCCCTGACACTCTTGGTCCCCCACCCCATGAGTGCAGCCCCTCATTTGTCCTCCTGGGGGGCTCAAGAGGCGCCCAACTCCCCCCGGGGGCTGCCCGCAGCAGGGCCCCCCAGCCCCTCGCCGCGCAGGCGTTGCCGGCCGCCTGCCGCAGTGGTGCCGGGCACGTCAGACAGGTTTTATGGCTTCTGGGAGAAAGAAGCTGCTTGGCAAGAGGCTGAGCGAAAGCATCGACCGTGCCGCTCCCCTCCCCCAGCTCTGCTGCCTGCCCTTCCCCCACTGCACCCTGCACCCCATCCTGCACCCCGCCCTGCACCCCAGCCCTGCAGGGAGGGGTACCCCATCCCCACGGGAGACACAGAGGCTGCCTAGTGCAGAGGGGGCCATGTCCTGTGGAATCCTCCCCCCAGGAGGGGGTGAGAACATCTGGGGGATATCGTACCCAAGGACACCCAAGGATGCTGGGTGGGGCATCCCCCAAAATATCCACCTGGGGGGATGCTGCGATGGTGCCTGTAGGACAAGCGTGTGGGGATGTCAGGGGTAATGGTGGCCTGTGGGACTCTGATGCAGAGATGATCGGGGGGTGTAATCTGCGGGTCCCCCATGCAGGGATTCCAGGGGACAGCCATGCCCTGTGGGATCCCCGTGTGGGGATGCTGAGGGACTGTGCTCTTTAGGGCCTCAGTGCAGGGATTCTGGGGTGCCGTGCCCTGTGGGATACCCACGTGGGGATGTTGGGTGGGGGCATCCCCCAAAGGACACCTGTACAAAGATGCTGAGGGACAACTGTGCCCTGCAGGACCCCTGTGCAGGGAGGCTGGAGGGCTGTGCCTTTTGTCAACCCATGCTGGGATGCCAGGGGTCCTGCCCATTGCACCGCCCCTTCCCCGGACCCTCAGGGATTCCCAGACCAGGCCAAGGGGTCTCTGCGGGACCCGTGGGATGGGTGCTAGGTCTGGGCACAGCAGAGCCCTGTCCTTGAGCTGGTGTTGTTTGGTATGCGGGAGTTGCCACCAGCTTCAAATCCCATCGACTTCCAATGAGCAATGCCATCAATAACGGCTAATTGATGGCGCGGCCGCTCCAAATCAGATTCCCCGTCCCCTGAATCCAATTGATGGCTCCGCACCCCGCAGCCGCCGCGGCAGAAATTGAATCTGTTCAAGGAATGAGCTCCATTAGCCCATCCCTTCTGTCTCGCCACCCCCCTGCCTCGGGGCCACTCCTACCCCCCCAGTGCCACCCACACCAGCCAGGATGCTGGGGTGGCATGGGGAGGAGTGTAGGGTGAGGATGTCAGGTGCCCCAGGTGGGTGGGAATTAAACCTTCAGAAACTGGGAAGGAAAAATTTATCACCTGGAATAGCAAGTGGTGGGAAATGGTAATAGGCAGCACTGAGATGGAGAGCAGGATAAAGAGCCATGTCGTGCCAGGGGCTAGGAGCCACAGCAGGCAATGAGAGGGGAACACAGCATGGCCATGCCCACCCCATGCCCTGGCTCACTGTCAGGACAGGGACCATGGATACACCGTGGCACCAGGACGAGCCTGCTGGGCACAGTCCCTTTAGCTCTGTTCTGCTCCCAGCAGCTTTCACTCCTGGCGCCGGACACCTCACCCGGCCACGCTGCCCGAGTCCCCCCCGACCCAGCCCTGCCGTGACAGGGGCTTCAGCGTGCCCCAAACACCCCTCATCACCCCGGCGTGAGGATAAGGTCAGGTTCTGCAGCCCTGCTGGGGTAGCCCCAGGGCACACAGGGGACATGGGGCACGGTGCCCCACCCCGAGGGCTGGAAGGGAGGAGCACGGCCCCCGGGCAGTGGGGCACATCTCTGTCTGTTTCCCATGGGCGAAGGGCAACGGCGGCAGCGCCCACCCGAGAGCTGTCGAGAGCATCCCGGAGATGGGAAATGGCTCCGTGTCACCATGGAAACGGGGCCACTGGCTCGACATGCCGAGGGGACACGTGTGCTGAGGGGACACGCATGCTGAGCCCTGAGGAGCAGGGCACTGGGAATGCCAGACATTGGGCACGATGGACGGGACACCAGGCACTGGCCGCAGGCTCCCCAGGACCGCGGCCAAAGCACAGAGCCCATCACCCGCCTCGGACCAGCTCCCTCGATACCCGGCAGTCATGGGCACTCTGGGGGATGCCCATGGGATCTCTTCGTGTCCCACCCTGGCATGATGCCACCGTGGCCGGGCAGCTCCACACCACCACACCAGCGCCGAGCACAGGGTGCGGGGGCCGGAGCGGCTGTTCCCCGAGCAGCCGCCTGATGATGCGCATCGTCAAGGTTATAATTTAGCAAAACACTCAGCAGGGGCTTGGAGGGAGCTGGCCCGCGCCGCTTAATTAACCGGAGCTGCACGCACCGAGCCCGCTCCTGCCATAGCAATGAGGGTGCGGGCACCGAGCTGGCGCGGCACAGGCGTGCAGGGGCTGTCACACCCCATCCTATCCTATCCCATCCCATCCCATCCCATCCCATCCCATCCCATCCCAGGGGGCTGGGCGAGCAGCTGGCCAGGTCCCACACATCACACACTGATGTTTGTGTCCTCTCCAGGGCCTAGAGTGGCAGTCGAAGTAGCGAGGACGGTCACTGGGGTGTGAGACAGCCTGGCACTGGTGGGCATGTATGTGCAGGCACAGATGCTGTCTGTGACATCACCATTCTGGGCCAGGGTGGCTGTCCATGCCTGTGTCCATCTGTCCTGTCATGCCTGTGCCCTTGCATGTGCTGGAGTGCACCCCCAGTGTGATGTAATCCTGCTGGACAATAATCCTGCTGTGTCAGAACAGGGATGGGCAGGAGCTGCCCTTGCTGCCAGCACTGCTTGGACCTGCTGCAAACTGAGGGCCTGCATGGTCCCCGTGCTGGGACAATCTCTGGATCCCTGGAGAGAGTGATTAGGACTGCAATGGATGGGTGCAAATGACACGGGTCACCACCCCAGCACAGTGTCCCTGTCTCCAGGGCAGCCAGACAGTGGGAGCAGAGGCTGGGGTAGGTGCCCACCCAGGGCAGCACCTCCCAAGGGTGCCTGAGTGGATGCTGAGGTGCTCTGTGACAGAGTGTCACCAGGCTCACACCACCTGCACTGCTGTCCAGCGTCTCTGGGCAGGCACGTGTGCCCTGGGAGGATGCTGGAGATGGAGCTCTGGAGTGTCCCACCTATCTGCCCCGTGGGTGTGGGGAGCAGGACCCAAGACACTCCAGGGCTCCATCTTCACCATCACCATTTGATCCTCAGGCTGCTAACGAGCTTCCCTGACAAACAGCTCGTTAACCACGGCAGAGCCTGGTGCTGCCTGAGCAGAACCTGGCTCCACTGGGCACAGGGCTGGTGCTCCTTGCTCTGCCACGGGCAACTCCTTAGTCCCAGCCAAGGGACAGGGACAGGACGGGCCAGTCCCAGCTGCTGGCAGGAGCACTGGCTGGTGTGGCCAGCCTGTGGCCAGAGGCAAGTGCAGCACAGGTGGGTCGATGCTCTGAATTATTGAGAACAGGAGCACAAAGTGGCTGTGACAGCAACACCCTGCATGGGGGGCATGGGACCCCTCACAGGCAGGCATGGGACCCCACATTGCCCAGATGGAGCAACGGGACACTGCCAGGCTGCAGGGTCACTGTGCCCATCCAGGGTCCTCTGCCAGCCCCTAGGGTGGTGGGTGCCAGCAGCACAGGTCACCTCACACCTGCCAGCACCTCTTGGCTCTCTCCTGGCTATCCCAGGTAGTGCCACCAGCACCTCCTGCTCCATCCCCTGTCCAGCACCCTGCTCCCAACACCACAGCATCACCTGGCCAGA